GTACCCATAGGGATACCGACATCTTGATGACGAACAAGGCCATCCGCTGTATACAAATATGTATTTGTAACAATAAACCGAAGATGTTGAAGAATGTCAGAAACAGAAAGAGTGTCAGGTCCCGTATCCGTAGTCCATTCCCCTACACGGGGACCACGGACCAGCATACGAAGAGCAACACGCGATGAGCGTGTCTGTGTATGCTGCCGTACCTGTGCAAGAGCGTAGGCATGCGCCTCATCAACGGCATTAGCCACATTGTCAAGAATTCGTTGATGAGAAAGATTAGTATACATAGTAGTGAAATCAACTGTATGCGGGGCCAGACCTCTAAGAGAAGCTTTATTCTTTTTGAGGTCAAGCATGACCTCGTCACTGCTCTGAACAATCCAACATCGTCGAATACCTTCGGTTCGAAAGAGTTGATTATCTTTTTCGCGAAGAGTACGGATGACGCCTTGAAGTGCTGTACTCAAACGAGCCGAAGTAGGCGTTGTACTAGCTACCGGCTTGTGAGGCGGTCGATGATGCAAACGCTGATATATATGTATATATATAGCATGTAATGCACATAGAGCGAGGGAAGGCAACCGCGCAGGCAAATTAGTCCGTGCGGGCGGTGGGTTGCGTTTCTAGTCGAGATCGGGTTGGTGACTTCCAGAAGACGGATGTTGTTGTCGTTCACGATGAACACCCAAACTTACCATCCTCGCCCGAAATTCGTGAGAATGGGGTGATAATTGAAGACTACCGTAGTGAGAAGGACAGCAAAAAATTGTGAGAAGGACAACGATCGACAGAAGTGTAAGCTGTGACATGTGCCTTGTGTGTGAGGCCGATGTGGCGGGACAAAAGAAGTACGAGCGTATCTTCCGCAGAATGCGGCAAGATGCATAGTAAAGGATATATCGGACCACTCTCTGCGGGAACATGCAGTCGTACTTTCTAGGCCCNTACGAGCGTATCTTCCGCAGAATGCGGCAAGATGCATAGTAAAGGATATATCGGACCACTCTCTGCGGGAACATGCAGTCGTACTTTCTAGGCCCTGAGGAATGCGGCCCGAGTTGCCTCTCTATCGCGCTGAATGTAATTCTCGTACCCCAGTCTCCTTTTCGTGCCCTCGTGCGAAATCCGCAATTCCACTAAGGACATCCATCGCGTGGTCGCTGCTCTACTTGTGCTTATTCAAAATTCGAGTACTTCTGCGTGCGTGCAGGACGTGCGCTCTCTCTCGCGCGCGCACGCGTGTGTGTGTGTGTGTGTGTGCGCGCGAGAGAGAGATCACGTGCACTCACATGTGTGCAGCAGACTGAAAGGCGGCGAGACAGACCGAGTTGAAGATTGGCACTATCGGCAGGGAAAGCAGAGTTGTGTGTGAGAGTGTGAGCCATTGTGTGCCTCTCTCTCTCTCTCTCTCTCTCTCTCTCTCTCTCTCTCTCTCTCTCTCTCTCTCTCTCTCTCCCCCTC